CCAGATCTTACAATGAGAACACTTTGCCCGTTGACCAGATTAATCAACAAACAAGCAAAGACCGAGAAGAGAATACGGTGAAGGAAACAGAGGAATCGTGTCAGGTATTTATCATGATTTTTAAAAGTATCCTTGACATTTGGCTATTTTGTCATTTTATGTTTATATGTTTAAAGTTGTAGTTATTTTTCGTTTTCATCACTTTGATGGATTTAATATCCTTTTATTCCATTACAAGTAAGAAGGAGAACGTATTTATCCGATGTTGTGGTGTTTCCATTTATTTCTTCGTCGTGTCTGAGAAGTTGTCTTGAATCCTGTTCGTGCATTTGCGAATACAAGATCGCAAAGACGTTGTCATTTTAACCCCTTATTGGAAAGTGTTTTGAGGGTTTTCAGTATTCAAGATAAACATTGATTTAGTGTATGGATTTCACCTGTCTTATAAAACGACCTCACTTTATATTGACAGTTTCGCGTTTTAGGGACGTTTTGCATCTCCTATTTAAGGGTTTGTGCCATAAACACGAATGAGACGTTTATGCTATGAAACGTGCAAGGACGTTAAACTCTTAAATTGCTATTAGGTTATAGGGATAAGAAGTAGTAGAACTGTATTAAAAACAATTTAATAGGTTTTGGTAGATACATTTAAAAAATATATCCATATAGAATTTAAAATAAATCCAAAATGATGCTTTTGTGAAAATATATAATACGACAGTGGTTAATGGTTACATAATTTAGCTGTATGACTGATTTTGTTTCTTCAGTTTAAATGATAAATGATTCCATTCATATGAGCGATATATAATCTTTATAGCTGCATATATTATATTTATTTTTGCTATATATAGAGAGAATTTGAAGTAGTGTTCGTGTGTTATTACAAAATGAAAATAGTGGAATTTTAATTCCACATCTGAAAATGAAAGGAATATTTTACAGGCCTCCACAGGTTAAACGCTGGATGTGTCACTCGTTCATTTTTAGTTTCAGCCTGGCATTACCCTTAGGATATTTCTAAGAACTTTAAGTTAAAAAAAAACTGTGGTAGCACTTACATTAGGAAAAATAAATAATGGTAGAGTAAAACAATCACGAGTCATTGAGGATATTGCTCGACGAACGCACTGCGCTGTAGCTCATCCACATGTGAGGGTACAGTAATTGTTCAGTATTAAGTATTGAGAGTTTTCTAATAAAAACGCAGTGTGTCGCTGTTCACCACAAAGGGCTTTAAGATGAGTATCACTCCCACCGTTTCAGTGCGTAAAATCAGTCAGTTGGTAGCTTCCCGTTAGATTTCAGTTTTGTAAAGCATTTACTTGTTTTGGGCTTGTTTGCGTCTGGTGAAATACTCCATCTTGCAACATCGAAAGGATTTGCACGAGAATATCAGCTCTGGAGAAACGAACGGGGCTGTAGGACATTCATTTGTCCAACTTGTCACACAACGAGGATGAAATACAAAGGGAGTTCTGATTCATGGCAGGTACAATGTTTCTGCTTCTTCATTGTAATGTTTGGCGCGTGTTTAGGCGATATTAATTATTCTGTTCCAGAGGAAATGAAACGCGGGTCTGTTATTGGAAGACTTACGCAAGATCTGGGGCTGGATATTAAACAGCTATCAGCCCGCAGAGCAAGAATACATTTACAGGACAGCACGCGGTATTGTGATATCAAAATGGAAACCGGTGAACTGATTGTGAATGAACGAATAGACAGGGAAGAGCTTTGCGGGCAAAGGCCATCTTGTGCTTTAAATTTTGAACTTTTACTTGAAACGCCTTTGGAATTACATCGTATTA